TTCTTTTGATTTCTTTCGACTATTTAAAAAATGTAAAAACCATCCTTAGCTTGCATTAGAACAAAAACAGGCCCATCTAAAACAGAAAAGGCAGGGGCTGCACTTGGTGCCGGCCGGAGTTGGTGGGTCTCTGTGCTAGGTGTTGTTACTTACATTCTCAAAGCGAGCCGCAGCGCGATTATCCCCACCTCGCAGGTGGAGAAACGGACGTTCTGCATGCTTGCCCAGGTTACCCGGGGGCAGCCCCGGGATCCGAACCCAGGTCTGGGACAGTGGCCAGCAGCCAGGAGCACAGTTTCATTGTCAGGGAATTTGAAGAGCCCTGCTGGGAGTGAGCCTCAGTGACAGCCAGGAATGGGGCTGGTGCTGTGCGATGCCGGCAGGGGCGTTCCCTCCTGAGACTGCACCTTCTTTCCCGCAGGAGCTTTTCCGAGCTGTACCGGCTGTCTCTGCGGGAGCCCAGCCGGCGGGGGGCCCCAGAGCCAGTGCAGGATGAGGCCCCTGGAGAGGCCCTCATGCCCGTCACCAAGCAGCTGCTGCACATGTGCCTGAAGGACAGCAGCAGTCCGCCAGGGCCCGGGGACTTGGCCGAAGAGAGGACGGAGTTCCTGTGCAGCCAGAACTCACCGTCACCCTGCAGGTGCTCCCTCCGGGCCATGCCTCTCGTCCCTCCCAGGGAGGCTGGGCAGACGGGCCCATTCGAGCAAGGCCCGTGGGAGCAAGGCCCGTGGGGTGCGGCTTCTAGTGCTGAGCCGTCCCTGCTCTCCGCAGCTCCCTGTCAGACGAGGCCCCAGTGCTGCCCAACACCACGCCGGACCTCCTCCTGGCCGCCACGTCCAAGCCGCCAGCGCCTAGTGCTGGCAGGGAAACACCGCCCACCCAGGTGAGCAGAAACAAGGCTCTGGAGCCCTGCAGGCAGGGTGGACCCAGTGGGGCTGGTGGGCATCACTGCATCCATACCCATTTCTGCCCCTCAGGACGGGCCAGCCAGTCCCAGTGGTGGTGAGGACACAGACGATCAGGCCCCGGAGCTGAGGGCCTCCTTCTTGCCACGAACCTTGTCTCTTCGAAACTCCATCAGCAAAAGTGAGTCTGGAGCAAAGTGGAGCATAGGATAGGAGGCGGGTGGAGGGAGGCTGGCCTGGGCTTTCCTGGCTGAGTGCACCTCCTTGTGCCCAGTCATGTCAGAAGCGGGCAGTGAGACTCTGGAAGACGAGTGGCAGTCCATCTCGGAGATCGCGTCCACCTGCAACACCATCCTGGAGTCCCTGTCCCGGGAGGGTGAGGCCACTGAGAGCACGTGGGGGCGGGGCACAGTGGGGCTCTTATTTCCTTGACCAGCCTGCTCAAATGGTCCCTCTTTCCCTACAGGACAGCCCATCCCAGATAGTGGAGATGCCAAGGGAACCCCCAAGTCTGATGCTGAGTAAGGCCCCCCACCTTGATCTAGCCCCTTCCCCGCCGCCTGTGCCCCCTGCTGGAGCTGAGCACTGTCCCAGGGCTCTGCCTTCACGTGCACACAGGTCTGGGAAGACTGGTTGGGCCCCTCTCACTCAGGCGGGTCTTGGAGTCAGCTGCGGTGCTGCCCTCTGCCTCCGTCCCCCTGAGTCCTGACCCCCATGTCCTCAGGCCAGAGCCTGGGAGCCTGTCAGAGAAGGTCTCTTACCTGGAGTCCATGCTCAGGAAGCTGCAGGAGGACCTGCAGAAGGTGAAAGGGTGGGCTAGGGTTTGTTGGGGAATCACAGGGCCGCCCCAGGAAAGGGACTGGCCATTCTGACTCCTGCTCCCTCTCTCGCCCCAGGAGAAGGCAGACAGAGCAGCCCTGGAGGAGGAGGTTCGGAGCCTGCGGCTGCAGGCCAAATCGTAGAGTGCAGCCACCCGCCTGCTCCCGGCCTCTAAGCAGCTGGGCTCACCCACTGCTGACTTGGCCTGAGCCCTTGGGTCCAGCCCTAGACACAACTGTGGACCTGCTCCGAGCTCTCCAGGTCTTTCAGGGCCCAGGGGTCACACTGGGCCTTGGCCCCCTCAGGAACTCCCCCTGCGCAGAGGCGCATCTGAGCACTGCCCCCATTCCCCAGCCCGTTATCTGGTGGCAAAGTTGTCCCTACCCCATTCCTGTTTGTAAATATTCTGCGGAGAAAAGGGGACTTCAGGGAGTAAAGAAGCCACCGCTATTTGTGTTTGTGTTTGATGTTCACCACACGACAGGGTTTTGCCCCCAGAGGCCCCAACCAAGAAGATCCCAGGAGTGGTCAGAAAGATGGGCCCTGGGGACATTGGCTTGAGGCTGGGCTGGCACTCAGTGAGGGGCTCTCTGATGCTGGGTCCCCCTTGGCTTCCCTCCCACAAACACTTATTCGGTCTGTTGGGAAGCAGGTGGCCATGCCCTTCACCTGTTCTGCTGAGCTGTCCAAGCGAGGCCCAGCCAGGCCCCTGCCCCAGAACCAAACCCGAGGGGCTGCGGTCAGGGGCAGAGGGTGGACCTACAGGACAGGAGAGCTGGAACTTAGGAGTCAAAGACAGCCTGGACCACAGCCATTTATGAAGGCCATCTCACCTTGCAAGGCCCTCTACCCCAGTGCAAGCCCCACCTCTCCTCTCTATAGTCACTGAACCCCCACGCCTGGCACTCCCTCTGCCCCAGGCCAGGTCTAGCAGGGCCCAGTTCCAGAGGGGCAGTGTCTGTGCCTCAGTTGCCTGGGATGCGTTTCCATGTGCTGGAGGAAGTCAGCCTGGGACCCCTTGTTCTTCATCAGGCTGGGCCCATTCACACAAGTGCTATCAGCTGATCTGAACTTGGATTTCATCTAAACCCTTTGTTTTCTGGATCTGAGGCCCCAACAGGGCACTGACTTGTCCAGCATCCACATGCCTAATCCAGCCCCTTCTGCTGGCTGGGTGAGACTCACCCTGCTAAGACCCAGGCACTGGGTCCAGCCATTAATGTAGGCTTTGTCAGGATGAACTAGGCTTTGAGAAACAGCATCAGATCAGTTTTCCTGGAGGAGGTAATGTGAGGGCTGAGTTTTGAAGATGGAGTCAAAGATATCCCTGATAGGACCTGGGGGCTATTGGACAGGAGTCAGGGCACAGGCAAGGACCCAGGGTCAAAGAGCCAGAGCTGGACCAGAAAGGGTTAGCAGGGCTCCTGGCCCAGCAGTTCCCAACACTGCTCAGCTTTCACCTGGTGAGGACCATGCTGGGCAGCCCGCGTGGGGCAGTACGGGAGGCTCTGGTCCCTGACTGGGTGTCTGCAGAAAACTGGTCATGATAGGTGTTCAGAGGGAGAGGACTGAGGTGAGATATGGGTGTCAGAGCCCTTGGGCTGCACGGAAAGCAAAGCCAGGGAAGAGGCTGTAGCAGCAGCCCCAGGGGGAGATTGTGGTGGCTTGAACTAGGCGCTAGTGGGTGGAGATGGGGAGAAGTGGGAAGAGTTGTCAGGACCTGGTCAGGGAGTGGACTTGGGGAGGAAATGCAGCATTGATACTGGTAGCCAAGTTTTGGGTTGGAGCCCCTGGAGGAGGACAGGGCCATGGCTGAGATGAGGAGCACAGGCTAGGAGTGGCTCTGGTCATTTGGAACAGGGCTCCTTTGAGGGGCCTGAGGGACATCAGAGTGAGATGTCCAGTGGGCTGTCATGCAGAAGAGAGACCTAGGCTAGAGATATGGATTTGGGACTAGTGAGCCACGAACAGGATGAGGTCACTCAAGGAGTGTGGGAAGGACCATAAGAGGGCTTCCGGGGGTCAAGGAAGGGCACTGCAGGACAATGGGCATGCCAAGAAGAGTGAAACTAGGCATGGCTGGACTATCCCTCTGTGCCTCGGGGTGGCCACATTTTGGGCAGCTTCGTCACCCATTTTCTCGGTTTGGGAGCCTTCTCACCAGGTAAGGCACCTCCTCAAGCTCTCCTTGGCGCCAACAGCGCCGCTATTCCATCAATCCCCGACTCCCCTGGGGCTGCCTGGCAGGTTTGCCCAGGTCCTGACCCGGTCAACACGATCGGTCTCCACTCCTAGCGTGGAAGTTGCAGCTACTGCGGATCCGTTTAGCCCAGTGTTTCAGGCCCCGCCCCCTGACGAAGAGGCTGGTTGGAGCTGGGGAGTTCCAAGCTACATTTTCCGGTTCCACAACTTCCCGTAGCCCGTTGGCCTGTTCCCCTTGTAGGCATTGCCCATCAGCGTCTGCACCCAGGACAGACCATGTTCTCACGGGACTCTCCAGCTGTTGAAGTACGTCCCACCGATAACTTGCTAGCCCCTGCCTTCACCCTTCCGCCACAGTGCAAAGCCCGGAACACAGAAGTCAGAAGTCATGCACCTCAGGGCAGGGGTTTTCCCGAAGCACTTCACCCAGTTCCCCGGTGCAGCGTACTCTCTGTGCGCATGCGCACTTGAAAAGGCGGGGGGCGGGGGAGGCCGAGGCCTCGCGCCGAGCCTGCTTTACTGCGCATGCGTGAACCTAAGCCGGAAGTACCTCTGCTCTAGCCCTCTGAGATACAGCTTGGCTTTGTTTGGGCCTCCTGGAGCGGCAGATTGAAGATTCCTTAGGTCCTTGGTCTTAACCAGAACAGGAAATCAAACCACACACCTTTACCTGGTACTTCTGCAACAGATGCTCTCTCCCTCAACAACCCAAAAGATGAAGTCCAAACGTCTTAGGCGCAGCATTCTTGATCTTTCATGGCCTGGCCCCATTGAACATTTCCAACCTCATTATCTTACCCAGCTCACCTGCAAGTGCTGTCTAGCCCCTTTAATAACCACCTTCTGCCGTTTATCTAGGGGCTGAAGCTCCCCACAGCCACTGCGTTCTGCTGGCCTTTCACTGCCCCAGGAACCCCACCCACCTTGGCCTACTATCACCCACTGGGCAGTGACTGGAGGTTTCCAAGGGCACCCTTCTCCCAGATGACACTAAATATTCATCCAAGTCTGTAACACCACTACCCAACCTGACGTGACCAACAGTGAGGGTGATGAAAGAAGGTGGATCTCTGGTAGGCTTGGCAACAAATTTATTAGTTCAGAACAGATAGAGCAAGAATGAAACTGCTTTGATTCTTCAGTAAAAACTGAGCCTCTTGACTGGAGAACTGCCAGCCTGCTGGCCCCGCTGATTCTGCAAACAACTCACCCTAAGGCACTTGTAAAAAGAGGGAACAGAAGCCTCCGACTCAACATCCTGGATCTTGCCTTGAGAGGGCCAGACCTGTCCAGCCACTCTTCAGCCACAGCTGAGCAAGGAGGGAGCTGGCAGAGACCTCAGCAGGGCACCAAGTCCAGCCCCTCCAATGCTGGTGTTAGGCACGAGAACAATGCCAGCACCACAGAAGAGCTGGTGACAGGGGCATTATTTTGGCTCAAGTGGAAATGAACCCATGATTTAAGGAAGACACTTAATAATAAGGCTTTGTGGCTTCCAAGGCCGTAGTTCCAGCCTGACCCTCTAAGAGAGTACTAAAAGCTGGAGGGTGGGAGTGGGGGGCTCCAGAATTCCCTATAGAAAGAAGGGAGCTGAACATCAGGATAGGGGAAGGAGGAGTCTGACTTCTCCCAGCTTCCCCATTTCCAGAGACGTTAATGCTTCTACTTAAGCACCTCCATAATGAGATAGATACTGCCAGTAAAAGAATAAAAGGCACCCCCCCCTCACCACTAAGTCATCACCCAAAGAAGTTGAGGATAGCTGGAACACACATCCCCCGATTCCATTAAGTGCTTGCTTTGGGAGGGTTTCAATCAATCTCCTGCAACCCAGTGCTCTGGGTAAAGCAGGTGTCCCCTCTTTAGGAGCTGATCTGACTCAGAAGGGCTGACAAGTCCATGTCTGCGATGGAGGCAAAGTCTTCATCCCCTGAGAGCAGGCCGTTGGGGAGCCCAGAGGTCCCCAGGGAAATGGGAGCTGGGTCAGGGGGCCTCTGGGACCCTGTCACCAGGCGTGTTATGGCCTCGGGGTACTCCATCAGCATAGGCTCTGCTGCATGGGGAGCCATAGATACGCCCTGGTTCAGCAGCTGCTGAAACTCGGAGTTGTCAACCGATGCCAGGTCTGTGAACACGGCTGGGTCAGTGCTATTGCCCAGCAGGGACCCCAGGTCTTCATCAGCATCAAACTGCAGCTGTAGCAGTGCCTCTGTCAGTGTCCCTTCCCCTGCCTGGGTGGGCTTGGGGACAGGCGGGGCCATAGCCTGAGCAAGGCTGGAGGCTAGGACTGGGGCAGGGGCTGAAGCCTGAACCAGGGTTGATGTCATGGCTGGGGCAGGGGCTGGTGCCTGAGCCAGGGCTGGGGTGGGTGCTGGTGCCAAGGCAGAGGTCTGGCCTGGGATCTGCCCAGAAAAGACCATGGGGGAAAACTCCTCAAAGTTGATAGTGCTGAGGGACGGCGTAAAGGGATAGGGCTGGGGAGCTGGAAGAGAGACAGAGAGACGGGTCAGAGAAAGCCTGAAACCCACCCCGTCCTCTGTACCCCAGCCTGCCAATGACACCCGATCAATCCCTCCCAGTACCCTTTACCCAGTCTGCCCGTGAGGTCCAGTTCCAGCCTCACCTCCTTGGAGCCCTCCCTGCCTACTCTAGCCTAGAAAACTCTCCCAGCCATTTAGAGGAAGGGAAGCTTTCAGAGATCAGCTGGTAAAATGTCATCTCACAGCTGCAAAACTAAGCCCCAAGAGCACACGGGCCCAAGGAATCTCCAGCGAGTGTGGCCTGACGCAGGGCACTTTGTCCCTCTTCAGAGCCACACACTGGCACATACATTTTGCTGCTTTAGATGTGATTTGTTTTGTTTCCCTAGTGCAACTGACAGCTGAGGGCAGAGACTGTGCACTTGTTAACTCGGTATCCCTGGGTGTCCATATGTGGTTTTTAATTGGCACAGTGGCTCAAAGACATCAGTGCACGTTAGTGTCCCCAGGACGCGGCTGGTTCCTGGGCCACACTTCCAAAGCATCTGATTCCACAGATCTGTAATGGGGCCCCGGGCCCCGCACCTTTACCGCTCTCCAGACGGCTCGGGCACAGGTAATGAGGCCTCACGCCCTGAGAAACACGGGCCCAACACACAGCACTATTCAGACACCTGCTGGTGAGGCCAACTGCCCATCCCCCTCCCAGAGGGTGTATAAGCCACGGGCTGAAGAGATTCGAGCCTACAGCTCCAGTTACCTGGCTTGGGGATGGAAGTCGAGCTGCGGGAAGGCACAGCAATGCGCCGGGGCGGAGGTCGGGGGTCAGTGGGTCCTGTGGAACAAGGCTGGGTCAGTTCCAGGTTCCCCGGGTCTCCCTTCTCTGTCTTCCAATTCTCCCCTCTACCCTTCTCACCATTGAAAGGACTCTTCTTCATGATGCTCTTAAAAGTCTCGTAGGTCCTTTTGCGTTTCTCCTCAATCCGATGACGATCATCTGGGAAAGTAACAGGGAGAAGTGAGTCTTACTCTCCTCAGCTGCACCCGGAAGCTCTCAAAGGACCCTCAGCAGGAAGGTGATGTGCCAGAATTTTTAAGACCCTCCTTTCTAAACCTTCCCAGTCAATGAGAAGAGTTGCATAACACTCCACAGTTCTAAGAACCCACAGCTTTCTGAGAAGGCTTCTGTTATCACTGAATCTGCTTCTCTGAGGGCCATGTGAGTATCCAAGTAAAGGGACCACGCTCTGCGGGAACACAGCCCTCAGGGGCCCTTCCTCAGCTTGTTCTTTTGCTGGCACTGCTCTCGTCCTGGCTCATCTTCCACGCCGAGCCAGGCCTGGCAGCGATCTCTCTGTGCCCTGGGGCAGGTGAGGCGGGACAGGCTTGTGTGAGGCTCCCGCAGAGGTCTACTCTCATCTCAGATGGTTCCACAGTTGGGCCTAGAGCTTTCAGGGCTGTGTGTCTAACTGCCACGGCACCGGGGGACTCTGAAGTCCTCACCACTGTCAGGCCAAAGCCAGCTTCCGCCTCTCTCCTCTAAAACCTGGCTCTGCTTCCTTCCGTGTTCCCTTACCACCCGTCAGCCCTGTCACCAAAGCCAGAAACCCTGGCATCATCCTCAACATCCTCCTCTCACTCCCACCATCCACGAACTCATCGCATCAACCAACCATCTACTCTGTGGCAGGTGCCGCCCCAGTCACTGGGGGCCACAGCCCTGAGTAAGCAGACAAGGTTCCTGCTCCCAAGAGTTGACATCCTAGTGACAGGGACACAACCATATCCGGATGACAAAAGCACTAAGGAAGAGACCCAGGGTGATGCTAACAGTACTCAAGGAGTCTAGCTTGGGGATGGCCAGAAAGGCACTGGGGTGAGCCCATCACGTGAAAATCTGGGGGCCAAGCGTTTCAAGCAGAATAGCTAGAACACGGGTCCTGAGGGGGAACCAAGCTTGGTGTGTGCGAGACACAAAAAGGCCTGTGGGGCTGAAGGGTGACCGAGGAGAACAGCAGAACATGACATCGTCGCTCTCTACCATTTCCTCTGCGCGGTTCAGGCCCCACCTTCTTTCCTGGACCGCTGTGACTTCTTCCAGCACGGCCTCCCCAGTCCAGTCTCTACCTCTCAGATCCTCTACTCACTGTCGCCAGAGTGAGCTCCCAGGTCTATTCGTGTCACTTCTCTGCTTCTAAACCTGCGTGGCTGCCCACTGCCTTATGGACACAGCCCGGATGACTGCCTTCAGCCTAACATTCAAGGCGCTCCTGCCCGGGCTTGCTCCCTGCCCAGCATCGCCTCCCACCACAAAGCTGCCCCCAAGCACCCTGCGCGCTCCCACACCCCTGCCCTTCCAGGTGCTGGTCCACCTGCCTAGGAATGTGCTTTTGTGTCTCTAATCTAAATGCCGCCTCCTCCATGCAGCTGCCTCCAGCTCCCACCACACTCTGCATACACCTCCCTCCATTTCACGTCACTCTGTGACTTAAGGGTCTGTTTTTGCATGTCTTCCTCATGGGACTGAACTTCTGAAGGGCAGGGAACACGTCATTCATCTTTGCATTCACAGTACCGGGCCCAGGCACTGGCACCGAGTGGGCACTCAATACTTGATAACTTTGTGGGATGAACTGCTGGCTGGTGTGGGGCTGTTTTCCAAATGGTACTAGACTGCTCCTAGGGCGGAGAACACTCTCGGGCAAGATGACGGGCACTGGAGAGAGGAGCATTCTGGCTGGTCCTTCTGTGGTCAGAGACCTAAAAGCCTTGACCAAGGCTGTGTGACAGTGACAAGAGACACACAGTGTGGCAATAGGACCCTGGAGCCAGACAGCCTGGGCTGAAATGCTGACTCTGAGTCACTAGTTATGCGACCTCAAGCCACTTAGACGTTTGCTACTTCAAAAGATTCGCGAAAGAATAAAACCAGGTAATTCACTGGTGTGCTTGAAATCCACGCAAGCATGTGGTAAGAGCTCAGTGAGCCTTCGATGTGGTTATTACTAAATGAGGCAAGAAACAGAACCTGACACTGTGTAAATCCCGCCCAGCCCCAGACAGCCAGCCCTGGCCTCGCTCTCCTGGCCGCGCTCACTCTCCTCTCCCCAGCTGTGTACCTGTGTCTGGCAAGTACTGGAATTCCATGGGCTCGCTGAGCTCCCGATCAGAAGGACGCCGCAGGTGCATAGAGACGCGCACGGGGACCTGCAGGCTGGGGTCGGCGTAGGGAGGTGTCCGGAACACGATGGCCACTTGTCGGTGCACATCAGCTTGTGAAAAGGAGCCTCGGGCCTCCCAGCCTGGTCCCGTGAAATACACTTCAATGTCCTCTGTAGGGGATGGAAGGGCAGCGCTGGGGGATGTGCTCAGCTCACCTGCAGCCAGCACCCGCCTGCTGCTGGCACTCGGCTCCTGAGACACATCCCAGTGCCACCCCCGAAGTGCACAGAGGCGTATTGAAAGCCAGCTGCCTGACACTGCCTTCTCTGCTCAGCCTTGCCCGACCTCCTGCTCCCTGGGCCGGCCCTGCATCCCAACACGTACCTTTCTGCACCTTATCGCACAGCAGGAAGATCTCATCCCCACCGAGGCAGCTCCCAGAGTTTCGGTTCACTCGGCAGATCTTGAGCTCTGCTGTGTTGGGGGCGCCTGAGGGTGCGGGTGCAAGAGAGACGACCCTGAACTGCCCGAGGTCCCCAGGCCTGGCCACGGGACACACAACTTCCTGGTTCCTCCGGTCAAGACCCTGCAGGGCTTGCCCGGAGCTGGTGTGGCTCATGTGGTTGGACGTCATCACCCAAAGAGAAAGGTCACCAGTTCAATTCCCGGTGGGGGCACCCGCCTGGATTGTGGACCCAGTCCCCAGTTGAGGGTACGTTCAGTAGCAACTGATTGATGTTTTTTCTCCTGCACATGGACATTTCTCTCCCTCTTTTCCTCCCTCCCTTTCCCTCTCTCTAAAAACAAATAAAATCTTAAAAAAAAAAAAAGACAGGAATTCTTTGACTTTTTTCTTTAAAGAGAGTAATGTTTTTTTTTAAGATTTTATTTATTTTTTTAAAGAGAGAGGAAGAAAGAGAGGTAGAAAAACATGAATTTGCAAGAGAAACATCACTGGTTGCCTCTTGCATGTCCCCAGTCAGGGACCAGGCCCGCGACCCAGGCTGTGCCCTGACTGGTAACCAAACCAGTGATCCTTCAGTTCACAGGCCAGTGCTGCGCTCAATCCAGTAAGCCGCACCAGCCAGGGCAAGATAGGAATTCTTGCTTTAAAAAACCAATGAATAAGACAATATTCATAGCTCGTTAACTGTGCCTTGGCAGCCAAGGTCCAACCCCTCACTCCAACCAGTGCAGCAACTACCTGTCTATTGGCTGCTAGTGTGTACCTAGCACAGCTCTAGGGAAGGAGAACGTGATGACCCACCAAACCTAAACATTCCCGCCCTCATGGAGGTCAGTCCAGTGGGAGCCAGTCCAGGCACACCTCTTCTCTCCACCTGACCCAAGCAGTCTTCAAGGCCCAGTTTATTACACCCACCTTGGCAAGGAACCCTTCCCTCCTGACCCTTACTATTCATTCTGTCTTCCTGTCTGTAGGGTTTAGAGCCCTTTAATTCCCATTCACTCTGCTGGTTATTTAAAGATTGCAGTTAGTCTGTGTCAGAACTTCCTGTGAGCTTTCATCGTTGAATTATTACTTTCTAACACTGCCTTGTCCCTGGGGGTTCATTCCCTGGAGTTACTGATACAGCGCTGGCATACCAGCCTCTCATCACATACTGGAGACGCCCGTCTTCCATCTGACACTCGCCAGTCTGGAAGCCACAAAGGGCAGCTCTGGGTCTCCCCTGCCCTGTCTCCCAAGCCAGCAGAGCCGGACATGGAAGAGATGACCGATACGCCAGACGACTGAACAAAGCCAAAGGCCCCTCGAAGGCCACATCCACCCGGCTCCCTTCCCCTTACAGGCCTACCCCTCCCTGGTCACTCACGGTTGTCAAAGATGGGATGAGAGAGGACAGGCGACAGGCGGAGGGGCCTGCCTGACGGGTCCCGCACTGTCACCTGGAAGCAGAGCCGCACCGCATTCAGGTCGTAGTCACCGCGCTGCTCCTCTATGGGAACTGCCAGAAAAACACGGTCAGGAGAGCCAGGGCAGGGGGCTCTGGGCTGGAAGGGCTGTTTGAGGGCATGTGAACCAAGAGGAGTCCCAGAGGAGGAAGAGAAGGCTCTAGACCCATCACTGACCTGTGTGACCCTGGATGTCATGTCCCCTCTCTGGGTCTCAGTGTCCCCAGTGGTAAAATGGGAGTGTACTGAATGGTCAGCAAGATTCCATGTGTGTTGTGAGTCTCGGCCAATGTGGGAGGCGGAGGCCGCCGCCCCTCAGCCCTCACCTTGGAAGGGGTTGTTGTTGGTCTGGATGCGCTGGCGGACGGCCTGCTCCAGGTCCCGCTTCTTCACGCACTGGATCCCCAGGTTCTGGAAGCTGAGTCCCCCAGGGCCTCAGTCACACATCCCCAGCAGAGCCTGGGCCTGCCCACCTTGCCCAGCCTGCCCTTCCCTCCCCGCTCCCTCAGCAGACCGCCGCTCCAGGCTTAACCCTCTTGCATGGCTTCTTCATGTACTGGAAAGAAACCCGCCCCTTACTTGGGCTGACAAGACCCTCTGCCCCTTGGCCTGGCCCTGGCCACAGTCCCTGCCAGCCCCTGCCCTCAGTCACAGGGGCTCCACTTCTGTTCTCCAAACACACTATTCTCACCCCCGCTTCGAGGCCTTTGCACCTGTTCACTCTGCTCGGAACATTCCCTCCGCACTTCCCTGCTTTTCCTCACTGTTTATCAAAAGCCTTCCAGGACCTCCCAGTTCAAAGTAATGAGAACAGCTCCCTCACCTCCCCCACTCCAGGCTATTCTTCCAACTTATTGCTGCTTTATTTTCATCATTAAGGTACTTCTGAACAGTATCTTGTTAGTTTATCTATACATTTATTTAGAGCCAGTCTCTGTCAACTGGTATTAAGCCCCAGGAGAGACTGTTGGCTCTGTGGTTTTCTTTCTCATTACAAGAGATGCAACACTAAGGGACCGGGCTGTTCCAGCTACCCTCAGGGGCTGGGCACTCAGAGGCAATTACGGACCCATCCCCATCCCATGTACAGACGTTAACAGGTAACTTCAAGACAAAGGGAATTTGCTTGCAGAGCTGGGAACAGTGCAAGCAGTGAGGGATTCTGCCCTCTGTCCAGAAACGAGTAACACTGTAACAGTGGCACAGCTGCCCCTCCTCCTGCCCTCCCCGCCGCTCACACCAAGCCCTGCCAGCCTATGAGGAGCTGACCTGTGGATGCAGCGGTCCGGGCAGAGCTCAGCCTCATAGTAGCCATCCCGGCAGTCTTTCCCTACGAGCTCGTGGGGGTGAGGCCGGTGAGGGGGGTCCTTGGTGACCAGGGAGATGCGAACTGTCCCTGGCCCCGTGTAGCCATTGATCTGTCCAAAGTACAGAGAGCACCCTGGAGGCTCAGGAGTTCCAGACCCAGCTCCCAGATTTCAAGGGGGCCTAGAGGCAAACTCACTGGGGATCCACCATCCCTCCCTGCCCCCCACGGCCCCCTGCCCGCTGGACAGCGCTGACCTTAATGGTAGGGTGGGTCTTGGTGGTATCCGTGCTCCTCTCGCCTGGGATGCTGCCCGCTGAGCGGCCCTCGCACTTGTAGCGGAAGCGCATGCCCCGCTGTTTGGGTTGCTCGATGATCTCCACATAGGGGCCGGAGGCCTGGGCTGGCTCTGCGGAGACACCAGCCAGCCTCCCTCAGGCGGCTGCCCCCACTGCACCCACCCTGGGGGCTCCTCCAGAAGTGCTGCAGGGTAGTCCACTTACCGGAGGGGAAGATGAGGGGGAACAGGTCTGAAAGAGGGGGGAGAAACGGTCAGCACAGGCTCACTTCCGGTCTCCACCAGGGAGAGCCTCCCAGGGAAACTGAGTCAGGGCCTGCTCCCTAGAAGCTGTGGTGAAACTACGGGGTGGAAGTAAATGAGCCAGAAACACCTGTTTCTCGCGAGAACACAGCATGGCATTCTCCCTTCAGTGGGAGAAACTGAGTCACAGCCTTTTCTAGTTTCATAAGGAAAACTAAGGACGGCACTCCCCTCCGGGATCCTGAGAGGAAACTGAGGCAGATGCATTCTCCCCTAACAGGGGCACTAAGTCAGAACAGCCCCCACAAGCCCCAGCGGGAAACTGAGTCAAAGCTCACTCCCCCACCTCTACCTACTCGGTCAAGGCCCCATCCTCCCAGAGGGGAAAGTGAGTCAGACCCCACAACGCCGGCCCCGCCCCGCCCCGCGCCACCATCCGGCCGGCCGCTCCCTGCACAGCGCCCATCCACGGAGGAAGGGGCGGAAGGCACGGAGGCTCCCGCCGCGATCTCCGCGGCCTCGGTGCGGCCACCTCCCGGGGGCAGAGGGCGCCCTCACCGTCCATGGCCGGGGTCCCAGGGTCCCGGGGGCGGGGCCGGGGTCGCAACTGGGCCCGCAACGAGCACTACAGCCGAGCCATTCGCCAGGGGCGGAAATGCGCCGCGCGCGCCCGCCGTCGCGTCACTGCCGGGAATCGGCCGCGCCTGCGCACCGCGCCGCTGCCGCTGCCGCCGCCGCCCCTCGAGGGGTTGGTAACCAGCGTGCGCAGAGCTCCGGGAGGCCGGTCGCACGCCGTCGCCGCGGGCTGGGTGCAACTGTTCGTTGCGCCGGGGATCGAGAAGCTTCTCGTCCGGAGGCCCCAGGCGGGGCGGCCGGGCTTGGTTCTCCCCTCGGTCTGGGCCCCGCCTGGAGGGCGGGCCCGGCGATTACTCACAATGTTTTTAGGGGATTTCGGGGGCCCCTCCTGCGGATCGGAGGAGTTTGATGATGTCACCCAGGCCAAGTCTGGAGCAAAGCCAGGGTTGCTGGGCTGCAGGGAAAGGCCCGGGCCTGCTCAGCCCGCAAAGGCTCAGTGGCCGAACTCCACAGGATTACACAATCGCTAAAAGGTGTCTCTTTGTGGTTGCCGCCGCAGAAGCACTTTTTGATCATCCATCCACTCCAATCTAGATGCAGCGGGGTGGGGGGGGGGTAGCTCCCGGCCCTCTCCACCTGGCGGTGTTTGGGTGGTGGGCTACGCGGAGCCTCCTACACGCCAGAGGCGAGCAAAGCTCAGCCTGGCGTCCGCTCCCAAGGCCGGGCTGAGCCAAGGACTCGTCGCCCGCTCCCGGGCTCAAGCATCACACTGCCAGCCCTCAGAGGCGTGGGTGCATAGGAGGCGCCCAGAGGTATATCACTGGAGCCTCGTCTCTGCAGCCCAACACCTGTGTCTTAGAAGGTCCGGGATTCCTAGTGGCCGCTTGACCCGAAGTGTCACGCCGCCGCCGCCGGTCTCCCTAGGGACCTCCTGTTGAGGGTCCAGCTGTCGGCCAAAGCGTTTCCACTAATTGTCCTTGTGCTCCCTTATCGGGGGTATGTCAAGCCCAAGGCGGAGTTCGTGCGGGACGGGGCGGAAGCTGAGGCTGGAGCAGTCCGCCACCCCAGGCCATTCTCATCAGGAAGCGAGGATGCTCCACGGCAGGCGGCCGAGTCTTCCCCAGATGGAAAAAGACTTTATTTTCTATGAATTCGTTCTAAATTAGGGAATCATGTGGGAATTGGAAAAGACTGGAAATTCTGACTTGCTTTCTCAGGGTCTGAAAAAAACAGGAAGAGAAAAGTGAAAACACCACCCCTCCCACTCATTCTAGTTTCTCACGTGGCTGGTCCGCGTTAGTAAAGTTTACTTTTTTGAGGAGACCGACTTCAGATGATAGAACACATTATAAACTCTGGTTAATGACATGCAATCACTGAACTTTACATAATTGTCTTTTTTTACACAATCCTCTTTTTAAAAGTCCATATATATTTATAATTTAAATCAAGAAATTGAATTCCATGGTACTCACTGCAAAACTCAAGGGGCTGGATAGAAGACCACCAGGATTTACATCCACCCACGTGCCCCACACCTGTCCCCCATGCCCTGTCCCCTGTCCAGGGCACCACCACTCAGAATTCTGTGTTTGTTATTTCCTTGACTTTTTTTTTTTAAAGAAAAAAATTTACTCACATACACATATCCGCACAATATATTGTTTGATTTTTGCTTATTTTTTTCTATTTTTATTGTTGTTCAAGGTTTTTTGCTTAGTTTTGAACTTCTATGAAGATAGTGTCATACTGTTTTTGGCTTTGTTATTTGCTTTTTTTCACTCAACATAACTACGAAGGTTCGTGGGTTTCCCAATTCATTGACTCTTCACAGCTGTACACTGCTCTGTTGTCTCCTGTCGTACAACTATACAAGAGTTTCCTTGGGAACGTGATGAAAAGTGACTTATTAGGGTTTAGAATTTCCCTTTATCAGTTTTCAAAATAAGCCCTGGCAGGCGTGGCTCAGTGAACTGAGTGTAGGCCCACAGACAGAAAGGTCTAAATAATGCCTTGGGTCTCTAGCATCCTCCAAAATTAATCTATAAGCAATTTTTAAAATACCTTAATGAATGCATAGATTTTAACATATCTGATATACCATAACCTATTACAATTATTATTCTTAGAGAAGTTCAAATTATTTTATATTTGGCCAGGGGGGCCTTTTCAAGTGGCTCTTTCGACAGAGTTGACGCAACTCCAGCGCTGTCCGAGGTCTCAAATCGGCCCGCTGTTTGTAGGACCCCCCTCCGGTCGGGGAAGATGATACCTAAAGACCAGCGTCGGAGCACTAAGTAGTTGAGTTAGTCATTGTGGACATTTTCAGCAAACTGTCAGGTAACATGTACATATTTTTATACGAAATGCACCAGGAAGCCATACTGACATCTCAGATTTAGGGCTACAGGGTCTTAACCTCTGTCATCTTGTATATCACTCCCATGTTTAAAAAATCTCAATTCCCTTTTTACGGAAATAGAAAGAAAAATCCACCCTTAAATTCACATGGAACCTTGAGGAACTCTCAGTAGCCAAAGCAATTTTGAAAGAGAGGAACGAAGTTAGAGGAGTGACATTTACTAGTTTAAAACCTCACTACAAAGCTACAATAATTAAAACAGTGCAGCCCTGGCTAGTATAGCTCAGTGGATTGAGCATGGGCCTGTGAACCAGAGTATCATGGTTCGATTCCCAGTCAGGGCACATGCCTGAGTTGCAGGCCAGTTCCCAGCAGGGGACTCATGAGAGGCAACCATACACTGATATTTCTCTCCCACTCTTTCTCCTTCCCTTCCCCTCTTTTGAAAAATAAATAAATAAAATATTTTTTAAAAAACCATTGTTAAAAAAAAACAGTGCACACTGCCCGGTATAGCTCAGTTGGTGGGGTGTGTGCCCAGGAGGGAAAGGTCACCAATACGATTCCTGGTCGGGGCACATGCCCGGTCTTGGGCCAGCTTCCTGGTTGCAGGTGTGCGAGAGGCAGCCCATCTATGTCTCTCTCATACATCGATGTTTCTCTCCCTTTCTCCCTCCCCTCCCCTCTCTTTAAAAAGAAAATAATTTTTTTAGTGTGGGCCCCCCCAAAAAAGAATTAAAAAAGAAAAATGAAATTAACAAAATAATGTAGTACTGGCATGAAGATACGCATCTAGACCAATGAAATAGTGTAGAGAGTCCAGGAAAATTAACTCTCCCGAAATAATTGAGTGATTTTCAGCAAGCGTGCCAATGGTAGGAAATGTTTGCAAATCACTGTTCAATGAAGAAAGGACTATCTTTTCAATAAATGGTACTAGGAAAGCTGTATTTCCATATGCAAAAGAATCAGGTTGGACCCTTACCTAACACCATATTTTTTTTTAAATGGGTTGAAGAGGTAAAATTATAAAACTCTTCAAAGAAAACACAGGGGGAAAACTTCGTGACACTGGATTTGGCAATGATTTCTTGGATATGATATAACTGGACTTCATCAAAAGTTTAAACTTTTTTGCATCAAAGGAAATTATAAAGAGTAAAAAAAAAAGCAACCCACAGAATGGTAGGAAATGTTTGCAAACCACATATGTGAGAAAGTTCAATATGCAGAGTATATAAATAAGTCCTAAAACTCAACAACAACAGAAAACAAACAACTCAATTAAAATTAGACAATGGACTTGAACAGACACTTCTCCGTGGATGATATAAAATAGCCAGTAAGCACATGAAAAGATGCTCAATAGAATAGCTATCAAGGGAATGCAGATAAGAACCACAATGAGATTCCACTTCACACCCATCAGAATAGCTATCGTCAGAAAAACAAAATAACACGTTTTGGCAGGGATGTGGAGAAATTAGACCCCTTGTGCATCACTGATGAGAATACAAAATGGTGCAGCTGTTGGAAAATAGTATTGCAGTTCCTCAAAAAATTAAACAGGATTAGCATATAATCCAGCAATTCCACTTCTGGATACATGCAAAACAATGGAAAGCAGGGACTCGAACAGATGCTTGTACACCGATGTCCACAGCACTATTCATGGTGGCCAAAAAGTAAAAACAAGTGAAATGTCCATGGACAAATGAATGAGCAAACAAAATGTGGCATACGATGGCACATTCTTCAACCTTCAAATGGAATGAAATCCTGTTTATGCTACAACATGGATGAACTTTGAAAATATTATTCTAAGTGAATTAAGCTAGATGCAAAAGGACGGACATTGTATGATTCTATTTCTGTGAGGTATGTAGAATAGTCAAACTAATAGAGACAGAAAGTAGAATAATGGTTACCAGTGACTGGGGTAGCAAGTGTGAATGGGTTGTTACTGTGTTGGGTACTGAGTTTATGTTGGGGATGGTAAGATTCTGGAGATGGTGATGATGATTGTATAACAATGTGAATGTACTTAATGCCACTAAACTGTACACTTAAAATAGTTAAAATGGCCCTGGCTGGTGTGGCTCAGTGGATTGAGCACCAGCCTGGAAAACAGAAGGTCACAGGTTCAAGTCTCAATCGGGGCACATACCTGGGTTGCAGTCCAGGTCCCCAGTAGGGGCATGTGAGAGGCAATCACACACGGATGTTTCTCTCCCTCTCTTCCTCTCTCCCTTCCCCTCTCTCTAAAAATAAGTAAATAAAAGCTTTTAAAAACTAATTAAAATGGTAAATTTTATGTACATTTAAAAACCCTAAATTCTCAATGACACCAATTATTCATTAGAACTACCTCACATTATACACAAAACACTCTCAGAATAACAATACCAAGTCTACCACCAATAATGTGATTACTGAAACAGAGCATAATTTTGCAGTTCTTGTTCTTAGCGATATGCTTTCTGACACTATTAATTTGATTCACCCTTCCTAGAATTTTATAAAAATGAAATCATACAAAATGCACTCTTTTGAGTCTGGCTTCATATGTCATCTATTGTGAGGTTTCTGTTCAAAGTTTTTGCTGTTTTGTTACTGAGTTTTTAGAGTTCTTCATACATCTGGATACAAGTCTTAAGTTTGCAACATGTGCATTGCAAATAGTTTCTTCCAGGCTGCAGTTCACCTTTTTGTCTAGCTAATGATGTCTTTCTAAGAGTAGATTTTTATTTATTTCCTAGTTGGTATCTTTTATGGCTCATGCTTATTTCCTATCAAAGAAATTTTTGCTTTCTCTAAGGTCACAAAATTTTTCTCCTGCATTTTCTTCTAGAAGTTTTATAGTTATAGTTTAATAGTTTTAGTTTTACATGTAGGTCTATGATCAATTTTTAGTTTTTGTATAGGGTATGAAGAATCAAAGCTCACCTTTTTACAAATGGATGTCCAGCTGTCTTAGCTTTATTTGTTAAAAAGCCTATTATTTCGCCAAATTTCCTTCACTTTGTCACAAATCATTTGACTACATATGTGCAAATCTATTTCTGGATTATGTCCCATGGATCTGTGTTTTGATATGTTTCTATTCTTATGCTAATATTGTGCTGTCTTGTGAATTTTTTGGTTTTTGTCCTTGCGCTGGGGCGAGTCCTCAAAACTTTTGTCTCATTGTTTGTTCTGATCTCATTCTTTTTTTAAAACTGCACTGGCACCCTGGCTGGTGTAGCTCAGTGGATTGAGCGCAGGCCTGCAAAGCAAAGGATCGCGGTTCGATTCCCTGTCAGGGCACATGCTTGGGTTGCAGGCCAGTTCCCAGCAGGGGACCCACAAGAGGCAACCATACATTGATGTTTCTCTCCCTCCCTCCTTCCCTTCCCCTCTAAAGATAAATTTAAAAAATCTTTTAAAAAACGGTATTGGCTATTCTAGGTCCTTTGAATTTCTATGATCGTTTGAGAATCAGCTTGTCGATTTCTACCATTAAAGCCTGCTGAGGCTTTGAGATTCTTTTTTGTATCTATAAAATTGAATCTCCTTCTTAAAATAGCCTGCTTAGAAACAGTACATATTTTTAACTTTTAAACACTGATTGATTTAGAGAGAGAAACATTGATTTGTTGTTCCACCTACTTGTGCGTTCATTGGTTGCTTCTTGTGCACGCCCTGCTGGGAATTGAACCTGCAACCTTGGCATGTAGAAGAAAACCACCCCGTATATGGAGGAACTGGAATTCTTGTGTACTGTTGGTGGGATATAAAATGGCACAGCCACCATGGAAACAGTCTGGTGACCAAGCTATTCCACTCCTGGGCTTATATCCAAAAGAATTGAAAACGGACTCAGACAGATGTGTACACCAATGTTCGGTGCAGTATTATTCACAAAACCCCAAAGGTGGAAATGAGTCAAACATTCATCAACAGATGAGTGGATAAACAAAGTCTATACATACAACGGAATTTGATTCAATCCCCAAAATGAATGAACTTTTGACACATCCTACATGGACGAACCTTGAAGACATTGCGAAATAAAGGGAAACCTCACTAAAAAGGAGTCACAAGGCCAGTAGGTGGAGCTCTCACACAGTACCCCTGAGGTCAACTACAGAATTGTCAATTATAGACCCCAACAGAATTGTCAACAGGAAATAATGATCAATTACGGGCCCCAAGGAGAAAAGATTTACATTGCATCTCCTACAGGAAATCCACCGCCCCAGCAACTCCGCTAATGAGAAACCTTCTCTCCCCCAAACTGTTGCCTTTCTCCAATGGGCTTTTGTTCAAAACAACTCCTTCCAACTTCCTTTTTTCCCTCTATAAAATAATGTTTCCTTCTTTTGTTTGTCCATTTGCCTATGGCTTTTGCTATAGCTTGCTTGTCCAGAATTACAATTCTTTGTAGTTCCTGAGTAAACCATTTTTGGCTGGTAAAATAACTGACTGTTTAAGGTCAACATTATGCTAAGTGATATAAGCCAGACACAAAAGGACAAATATTGTTATGATTCCACTTCTATGAGGCACCTAGATAGGCAAATTCATACAGATAGAAAGCAGAGTCCAGATTACCAGGAATTAGGGAGGTAGGATGGGAAATTGGTGTTTAATGGGCACAGAGTTTATGTTGGGGATGAAGAAAAAGATTCTGGAGATGGATTGTGGTTATGATTCCATAACACTGTGAACATCCTTCATGCCACTGAATTGTACATTTATGAGTGGTTAGGAGAATAAATACCATGTTATGTATATTTCAACAAAATAAGAGTTAAAGCTTTGTTAACAAGTTAATGGTACATGATCTACATGCATTTAAAGATAGAAAATTATGAGGGTGGGTCAGGACTGAATATTCATTTTGTTGTTTTTTAAGTGTCCCATTAATCTGTGTCTGTACCTGAGCTTAGCAGGGCAACAGTGTGTCTGTCTCCTGAAATCAACTGGAGGTCCATCTTTCACTTAACGTGGTGATTTAACCAAAATTTACTGAGCATCTAATATTGGTTCTAGATGCTGGATGGTGGCGAGGAGAGGACAGCCCCAAACAGAACAGAGGCCTTGCACTCAGGGAACTCGTGTTCTACTTGGAAAATGCGGGTGATAAAGAAACACATTAAAATGTAATATATCAAGTAGGTAAGTGCAATGGCGAAGAGCATCTATGCTCACATGGTATATGGGTCAGAGTCTTTCCTTCCGAGAGCTCTGATTTTGGTCTCTGGGCAACGCTGGCCTGACAAAGTGAGTTGGGAAGCGCCCCTCTTCTGTTTTCTTAAAGAATTTTTGTAGGATTGGTATTATTTCTTCCTTAATTTTGATAATTCACCAATAAACCACCTGGACCTGGCAGTTCCTTTGTGAGTTTTAATTTATGAATTCATTTTCTTTAGACATAGGGCTATTTCTATTTCTTCTTGAGTCATTTTTACAACAGCAGGCGTAAGTCAGATATTGAAAACACTTAACCACTGTGGGAAAGACCTACTGGTTTTTCGGTGCTCACCAAGCACTGAACACCACGCCCTACAGACACACCCATCTTCTGCAGGTGACGCTATCTTTCCGGTGACCTGACATCATCTCTCCTCTGCTTCAGCACAGTTCTGGAAGAGGCGGACTGAAGCCAAGGTCCTCTACGCTGGTGACAGGCCAGGTGCAACGGAAGGCAGGGAACGCCTTGAGGGGCATTGCTCAGCCCGACCAGAGGCTTACTTCTATGAGCAAATGAAACTGGAAAAGGTGGCATTTGTGCTGCTCGTCACTACTGGAACCAAAAAGTAGCGACGAGGATTGAATCTTTGTGGGTGCTTTATTAGGAGGGATGGCGATCCGAGAAGGTGGTGGGTTGTGTACTCTCAAAAGCTGTCTTAACATCTTATTTCAAGCTGACCTTTTCATAAGGAGAAGGGTAGATAAGGGACTTGGAAAAAGGTCAACTGGGTAAGAGTTGCAGTCCTGCAGCAGTTTTCCTAGTATTTCTTTATCTGTTGATGAACAGTTCTTTATCTCACCACCTCCCCGTGAAACACAATGGCTCAGATACCATCTCCTGGCTCACAGACCTCCTAGAGCACAAGGTTGAAATGCATGTCAACTTCCTGGAGCCATGTGGTCATTCCTTCCAGTTCCTGGAATATATCAGCTCTCCATAAGCATTAATCACTTAAGCCTATCAACTAAGGTTAAAATCTTTAACTCTTGAATACCCCTATCACAAACACTTCAAACCCAAATTGCTGGAGCTAATGTAGAAGGGTAGGCCCTGGCTTTTTTCTCTGAGAGATACTTTTCTCTGCCTCAGGTTCTTTTTGACCACAGGAGCCTGTCCAGCCCTTGCACTGAGAATGCTGGAAATGTCAGGAATGAAGACCTTCAGAAGTGACTCTCGGCCAATGGGAGTGGGAAGATGAACACCCAGGTCCTTGCCCCTGGGTGGGACTACTCCAGTGAAAGGCAGATTTAAAATTTTTTAATGTTTTTATTTTTATTGTTTTTCAAACCTAATTTCAAATAATTTTTGTTTACCTGAAAAACTCAAGAAAATAAACTGAAAATCAATAAGAAAACTAAGTAATGTGGCTGGGTAACAAAATTTATATTCAGAAATTGAAAGCCTTCATACATACCAAAAAACCCTCTTAGAAGGCATAATGGAGGAAAAGGATCTTTTCAGAGGAGCAATGACAAAGAAGTAAGACATTACTAGGACTAAACTTAAGAAGCTCGAGATTTACATAAAGAAAACTTCAAAATGCTCCTGAGAAACATACACACACACGATACACAAACGAATGGAAAGGTCAACTCGACAGCACGAAGATACCAGTTCTCCCTTAAGTTTGTCTTTGTTTATTTCTGGACAGGTTTTATTACACACAGAGGGGATGGGGCTCAGTCCTTGGCTGCTGCCTTCCTCATGGCTGCAGGGACACCGCTCAGCTCTTCTGTCTTCCTCTTGGCAGGGATGTGTGTCCTTACCTTTTTCTTGATCAACTTCAGGGCCCTCCTGTCCTTAGAGACCTTGGGCAGCTCCACGGGGTGACAGGGAACAAAGCCACACACCTCTCCAATCGTGTCCCACACAAACTCAGTGTGCTGGGCGAGGTACCAGTGGCAGTGGCTGTGCCTTGGTTTCCTCACCTCCGTGGTCACCCTGTAGCCCTTACTGAGGCCCAGGACCACGGGGTAAGGCAGGGCCAAGGCCGCTGCTCCTCAGTGTCTCCCCTATTTCATTAAAATTATATATATATATATATATATGTATATATATATATATATATGTATATATATATATATATATATAAAATCAACAGGATTGTTGGTTTCTTTTTAGCTAAACAAGCTAATTACAAAATTTTAACATCTAATTTTATTTTTAAATACTTTTGAATTCTTCAATTACAGTTGCAGTACAATATACATTAGTTTCAGGTGTACAGGATAGTGAATACACATATATATAACTTATGACTTCATCTCCCCTGACAAGTCTAGGACCCATCTGACACCACAGTTATTACAATATTAGTGACCATATCCCCGTGCTATACCTTACATTTCTCTGACATTTTATAATTTGAAATTTGCACATCTTAATCCTTTAAACTCTGCACTCCTCTCCCAACCCCCTACCATCTAGCAAACATCAAAATGTTCTCTATATCTACCAGTCTGTTTCTGTTTTCTTTGTTCATTTGTTTTTAAAGATTTTATTTATTTTTAGAGAGAGGGAAGGGAAGGAGAGAAAGGGAAACATCAGTATGTAAGAGATACACTGTTTGGTGCTCCCCCTCCCCCCCCAGCTAGGGACCTAGCCCACAATCCAGGCATGTTCCCTGAATGGGAATTGAACTGGTGACCTTTCGATCCTCAGGCTGGCACTCAATCCACTGAGCCACACCAGCAAGGGCTGTTCATTTATTTTGTTCTTTAGAATCCAGATATACATGAAATCACATGGTAAACCTCTTTCTGACATTTCACTTGGCATGATACCATCTAAGTCCATCCTTGTTGTTGTAGATAGCAAAAGTTCATTCTTTTTCAGGGCTGAGCAATATTCCATTGTATATATGTACTACCTCTTCTCTAGCCATCAGTGGACATTTAGGTTGCCTCTGTATCTTGACCATTGTAAATAGTGCTTCATTGATCGTAGAAAGATGCATGTCTTTTCAAATTAGTGTTTGGGGTTTCTTCAGATAAATACTCAGAAGTGGAATTGCTGGGTCCTTCTTCATCTCTTGTTACATATAGCCTTTGTTTAAAGTCTATTTTGTTTGATATACGTATTGCTGCCACAGTTTATTTTTTTCATTCCATTTACATGAAATTCTTTTTTCATCCCTTTACTTTTAGTCTGTGTCTTCTAGTCTGAAGTGGGTTTGTTGTAGGCAGCATACGTATGGGTCCTATTTCCTTATCCGTTCAGCCACCCTCTATGTCTTGCAGCATTTAAGCCATTTCCATTGAAAGTAATTTTGATAGGTATATACTTATTGCCATTTTATTATTCATATTTTTGATGTCCTCTTTTTCTTCTTCTTAGAATAGTTCCTTTAACTGGTTCCAAATACCAGCTTGGTGGTGAGAACTCCTTTGGCTTTTTCTTATCTGGGATAAAATGTTTGTAGACATATAGCTCATATGTAATTTTACCAAATGCATATATGGTCTGGGATGGTTAATTTTATGTGTCACCATGACAGGGTCTCGAGGCGCCAAGATATTTGATTATACATTATTATTTCTGGGGATATATCTGTGAGGATGTTTCTGTATATTAGCACTGGAAATGGTAGACCAAGTAAAGAAAACAGCCCTCCCCACTGTGGGTGAACATCATTCCATCTGTCGGGGGCTAGAATAGAAACAAAAAGGCAGAGAAGGAGAATTTGCTCTCTGTCTGACGATATGAGCTGGAACATCAGCCTTCTTCTGTCCTGGGTCTGGAACTTACATTGGCTCTTCTAGTTCTCAGGGCTTCCATCTTGGACTAGAACTTAAACCATCAGTTCTCCTGGTTCTCAGACCTTTGTACCGTCTTTCCCGGATCTCTAGCTTGCAGATCCCAAGGAGGCAGGGATGAAAACTGTGCTAACTGCAATACATAGCAGGCTCTGGGTAAACATTTAGTCACTGTTATCAGTAAATGGCTGATTTCAGCATAGATTATATTCTGGTTTTATGTCCTTCAATCCAAAGACAGTGTTACTACATAAACTTCCTAAGACGCACATATAATCATTTTCCACTTATTTCTTCAATGGAAATCATGCTGAATCAAACACGTGAAAAGGTGTGTATATAAGGATACTCTGTTTGTAATAGAATAAAATTGTAAATAACTTGACTATTCAGTAGGGCAATTGGCTGTGGCAGCTAAGGTGCACCTAAACAAAATGCTACGTAGCCATTAAAAATAGCGCTGTGGAATATTCGGTGACAAGCGTCCACTTTGTGTTGCTCAGGAAACACACTGGTCATAGAATGGCATACACGGGAAGAATCTATTTTGTATTCAACACAGCACAGGAGTTTACAAAGTAGGAGGTGGCAACATTTTCTGTCAAGGGCCATACAGTAAATACTTTAGGCATTATGGGCTAGAGATTTATATTTCAGACATAATCATAAAGTTTAATGTGAAAAAAATTATAGTCAAAGTATAAGTGAATCAGTGAGGTTACATTCCAATAAAACTATCTGTGAACACTGAAATTTGAATTTCATAATTTTAATGTGTCATGAAATATTCTTTTGTTTTCCTAACCATGAAAATATATAAACACCAGTGATGGCAAAAAAAACAACAACAATAAAAAGCCCCACACCATTCTTAGCTTACTGGCTGTAGTTAAAACCAGCGGAGGGTTGGATTTGGCCAGCTGGCTGTAGATTGCCCATCCCTAGTCTACCATATACTCAATCCAAATGGTCACTGTGGACACGTACCCCCAAATTATCTGAAATTAGATTTTTCTCCTTGTTGCTGTGGTCTGTGTTTCTGAAACACTTTCTCCTCCAAGTATCTGCATGGCTCTTCCCTTCCCCCTGTAAACCTTTGCTAAAGTAATCCACTCCCAGCCAGGCCTGCCCCCAGCACCCTATTTGAAATTGCAACCTGACTTCCCAGCTCCTTTACCTTGTTCGTTCTTTTCGGTTTCCCCAAATACTTATCAGTCTTTAATAAACTAAATAATTTATTTTTAAATATATTTACTGTTTGTTACATAAACCCTTCTTTTTCCTCTTTACCCCCAAGAATGTAAGCTCTATGAGGGCAAGGTTCTTTATTCACTGATGTATTCCAGGTTCCTAGAATATTGCCTGGCACATAGTAAGAGATTTATTTGTTGGATGCCTGAATGAATAATGTATTGTTTTTTAACTAGAAACTTAATATACAAAACAACTACCTAAAAAGATTCCGTAAGTCCCTTTATGCAAGGAATGAAATCCACAAACTGGGCAAGACATTGACCTAACTTCCTTCACAGTCCCACACACTTATCCAGCCTCCCAAACCGTTCAGACCCGCCCCCTACTAACGAGCGCTCCTAGTTAACTCCCAGCGACATCTCCCACCGCCACTAGAGGACGACGGAGTTCCGCCATCCTCAAAGCCCAAACACTAGTACACAGCGACCCGCAATGGACCCACGTGACCGGCGTCGCACCCAGTGAGCGTCACGTGACAGACTAAGCTTTCCCCCAATCACTGGGCGCGTTATGGGGAATCCACCCAGTACCCGGCCCGAGACATAAAACACCCCATTCACCTGCCAGCCAAAAGGGCCAGCCTTCCGCTTCCAGATAGTCGTTGATGTCTCTCAAGGGTCGTCGTCTACAGTGGTGTCGGAAAGCCCAGGCCTAGAGAGTGCTCAATCCCGGAAGTGACGTTTCCCAGAGGGGCCGGAAGTGGCAGTGGAGGGAGGGAAGATGGCGGAGGTGGTGAGTCCGGTGCCCGGGGCGGGGCGGAGGGAGCCAGGGGAGGTGGGTAGAGCCCGAGGACCCCCAGTAGCCGACCCTGGCGCCGCGCTGTCTCCCCAGGGGGAGATAATCGAAGGCTGCCGCTTGCCAGTGCTGCGGCGAAACCAGGACAACGAAGATGAGTGGCGTGAGTGACGTCGGGGGGCGGGGCTAAGGAACCAGAGGGCGAGGGGCGGGAGTCTACCGAACCCTCGGGAGGGGGAGGGGCCTCAAGAATTCTGGGGCGGGCGGGTCGCAGATACACGGGAGGGGCGTGGCTTGTAGCCGCTTCCAGATGGACAAGGCGGGGCTTGGAGAGGGGGCGGCACTTAGTGACTAAACGGGGTTAGGAGGGAGAGCTTCTAAGTGCTGGGGCGTTGGAATCTGGCCTGGGAGTGGAGTTCTTGTCGTAGGAGGGTGGAGCCTCATGGTCTGACCCTCCTAATGCCCCTATGCGGTTCACACAGCCTTGGCTGAGATCCTGAGCGTGAAGGACATCAGTGGCCGGAAGCTTTTCTACGTTCATTACATTGATTGTGAGTGCTGGGCTAGGGTGAGGAGGGGCTGCGGGGTAGGATGGGGGTTGGGGGGCGGCCTGTGGCATTCCTTCCTGAGCCATCCTCACTGCTGCAGTCAACAAACGCTTGGATGAATGGGTGACCCATGAACGGCTGGACCTGAAGAAAATCCAATTCCCGAAGAAAGAAGCCAAGACCCCAACGAAGAACGGACTTCCTGGGTCCCGCCCCGGCTCTCCAGAGAGAGAGGTGGTGAGTAGGTCCCCTACTTCACCTCTTCTTTCTTGCCTCCTATTTCTGTCACCTCTTGGTCTCAGTGGCTCCTGGATGGGTTTGAGGCAGCACTTTCCTACCCTGGCTTCAGCTTGCAAAGGATGGGGACCAGGTTACAGATGTAGCTACCAGAATCCAGCAGCTATTCCCATGTCCTTGAGAGGGTGGGGTTTGATAACACCATGCTAAGGGGCTCCTACTCCCCTTTCCCATCCCGCCACCATCCCCACCCCAGAGGAAGACCCTGGACCTATCTCTACAGCCGGCCTCCGCCCAGGCCAGCGGGAAGACCTTGCCAATCCCGGTCCAGATCACACTCCGCTTCAACCTGCCTAAGGAGCGGGAGGCCATTCCCGGCGGTGAGCCTGACCAGCCGCTCTCCTCCAGCTCCTGCCTGCAGCCCAACCACCGCTCAACGGTACCCTCAGCAATTCCAGGGACCTTGCTTTCCTCTTAGGTCCCACGTTCTCTACCGTCTGACCCACCTTTTTTGGTTTCTTTCTGCAGAAACGGAAGGTGGAGGTGGTTTCACCAGCAACTCCAGTGCCCAGCGAGACTGCCCCAGCCTCAGTTTTCCCTCAGGTGAGTCCTCCAAACCACCATTCTTCCCTTCCTGTCTTCTCCCTTCTGGTAGCCTCTTTCAGACTCGTCTAAAAGCCACCTCTTCTGTTCCTACTGCCTCACCTACAGAATGGATCAGCCCGCAGGGCCGTGGCCGCTCAGCCAGGACGGAAGCGAAAATCAAACTGCTTGGGCACTGATGAGGTAGGTCTGGGGTAGAGGGAAGCTGAGTGAAAAGCAGAGGTTGTAGACGGGTTGGAATTTTTAGTGGCTAGTTTAAAAATAACCAGCAGGTGGTGGGCAGCTGTGGCCGCAGTGGTGGGATCAGGAGCTTAGCAGAGCTGGTTCGGGTCAGTCATTGTGTGATCCTTCCCAAGTTTTGAGTGAAAGCTTTCTTTCAAAGTCTTGATCTCTTTATCTGGAGAGTGGGGATTATAGTCCCTGCCCCATAGGGTTGCTGCTAGGCTTGAAGAAGGGAACCTGTGGCGGGGGAGGCTATGTGAGCCGTCGTCTCCTGTGACTGGTACCTTCTGCTGGTCCTGGGCAGGACTCCCAGGACAGCTCAGATGGAATACCATCAGCTCCACGCATGACTGGGAGCCTGGTGTCTGACCGGAGCCACGACGACATCGTCACCCGGATGAAGAACATCGAGTGCATCGAGCTGGGCCGGCACCGCCTCAAGCCGTGGTACTTCTCTCCGTACCCGCAGGAGCTCACCGCGCTGCCAGTCCTCTATCTCTGCGAGTTCTGCCTCAAGTACGGCCGGAGCCTCAAGTGTCTGCAGCGTCACTTGGTATGAGGGGTCCCAGGTGCTGCCCTACTAGCACCCCAATCCTTCTCCCACCCTGACCCTCCTCTCTTCCTCAGACCAAGTGTGACCTGCGACACCCACCAGGCAACGAGATCTACCGCAAGGGCACCATCTCCTTCTTCGAGATTGATGGACGTAAGAATAAGGTCAGTGGCAGAGGGACAGTGGGGACACCTCAGAACTTGGAGTGTGAAGTCAAATGACCAGCTTCTTGCTCAGGAAAACACTGACTGGCCTGCCCAACAAGTTGGCGTTCCCCCTTACTGAGCTCCTGCTGGAGGGCAGCTGCGGGGGGATGCGACCAGGGTTAGGTAACGTCTCTGCTCTCAGCTCAGTCCGAGGGGAAGAGACACACACCAGTGGACACACAGATCCCAGTGTGATAAGTGTCACGGAGTATGACTCTTATTATTAAATGGGGTAGTAGGACCCAGAGGAAGTAGTCAGCAAAGCTTCACAAAGGTGACTTCTGAGCCTTGATACGAAGGACGAGGTGGGGAAGGGACTCCCAAGCAGTGGAGTTCTGAAGGGCAGGCATGGCTGTACAGAGGTCGTGGGTGTCAAAGGCAAAGACTCCGTGGCTGAAGGACAGAGAGGATGAGGGAAGGCTGATACAAGGGACAGGGCTCAGGTGGTACAAATGAGGTCACCTGGGGAGTTAGGGACACCCTAAGTTTGGGACTTCAAAACCTGCTTTAGTCTGCCCTGGCTGGTGTGGCTCAGTGGACTGAGTGCAGGTTCAATTCCCAATCAGGGCACATTGATGTTTCTCTCCTCTTTTTCCCTCCCTTCCCTTCTCAAAAATAAATAAATACAACCTTAAAAACAACAACATCTTCCCCTCTAAAGGTAAATAAATATAATTTAAAAAAAACAACAAATCTGCTTTAGTCTGTGGCTGTGGGGAGGAACGAGTAATGTGGAGGGATCTTTGAGAAAGAGACTCCATTCCTGGGGCCTAGAGGGCGGTAAGGGAGAGGCAGTCACCTCGAATGGCAAGGGAGAGCCCGGGCCTGAGTACAGGGGAGCTAGAGGAAGATGCCGTATTAGGCACCGTTCTGTGTTAAGTGTGGACTTGGGTGTGTAGGTAGCAGTGCCTGGCATGTAGTTAAAAAGTCACGTCAGCCCCGGCTGGTGTGGCTCAGCAGATTGAGCGCGGGCCTGTGAAGCAAAAGGTCGCCGGTTCGATTCCCAGTCAGGGCACACGCCTGGGTTACACGCCAAGTCCCCGGTAGAGGACACATGAGAGGCAACCACACATTGATGTTTGTCTTCCACTTTCTCCTTCCCTTTCCTTTTCTCTAAAAAAATGAATAAAATATTTTTTAAAAAACGTCATGTCTGCCCTGGCTGGTGTAGCTCAGTGGATTGAGCATGGGCCTGTGAACCATACAATTGCGGTTCGATTCCCAGTCAGGGCACATGCCTGGGTTGCAGACCAGTTCCCTGCAGGCCAGTTCCCAGCAGGGGATGCACAAAAGGCAACCATACATTGATGTTTCTCTCCTTCTCTCCTTCCCTTCCCCTCTGAAGATAAATAAATAAAATTTAAAAAAAAAAAAAACACGTCATGTCTGAGCTGGCCTGCGAACCGAAGGGTCACTGGTTTGATTCCCAGTCAGGGCACGTGCCTTGGTTGCGGATCAGATACCGAGTTAGGGGAATGTGATAGGCAGCCAATCAATATTTCTCTCACACCTTGATGTTTCTCTCCCTTGCCCTCACTCTAAAAAGTAAATATTTAAAAAAATTGATTTTTAGTGGGAAGGGAAGGGAGAAAGGTAATGTTGATGAGGCCTGTTACACGCCCCCAGCCAAGACCCAGACTACGACCCAGGCATGTGCTCTGACTGGGAACCGAACTGGCAGCCTTTTGGTTTGCAGGCTGGTGCTCAATCTACTGAGCCACACCAGTCGGGGCAAGTAAATAAAATCTTTTCAAAACAATTTAAAAACAAAAAGTCATGTCTGAAATGCAGGCTAAATTGTGTGCAGATGTAAAAAAAACAAGATTACCAGGGTTTTTGGGGGAGTCGAGGGAGCTCCTAGGGTTATCTTTTTGAAGTCCAGGACTCCTTACTCAGTCATCGAGTCCACGTCAGTTCCCAGGAGGTGCGAGTGCAGGCGGAGAGGCTGTGTTTTTTGACAGCCGGCTCCTCAGACTGTCACACGGGCAGAGCTCTCGTCAGCTTTGGTCAGTCTTGGGGACACACCAGTGTGCGGACTGTTGTTAACTACAGCAGAGGGCAGTGGAGGGGCCCCAGGGCGGGTCCGTGGCTGCACGACCCCATGCAGCAGCCCTGCCTGGGTGGCAGGGACAGCCTGCCTGATGGGGTAGGTCAGGCCTCAGGGAACAGTGCGCATCACCTCTCGGCCTGGGAGGCAGAGCAGCTCCTGGTTGACCCTGGCTCAGTGGCCACACTTGAGGCAGGGGACCCAGGGTGGTGACAGGCCTTTTCCTTTGCAGAGTTATTCCCAGAACCTGTGCCTTCTGGCCAAGTGTTTCCTTGATCACAAGACGCTGTACTACGACACAGACCCTTTCCTCTTCTACGTCATGACGGAGTACGACTGCAAGGGCTTCCACATCGTGGGCTACTTCTCCAAGGTGAGTGCTCGCCTGGCCTGCCCCTCAGCCCTGTGCTGGGCCCGGTCCCTTCCCTGCCACTCACCGGCCCCCCTTTCCCAGGAAAAGGAATCGACGGAAGACTACAACGTGGCCTGCATCCTGACCCTGCCTCCCTACCAGCGTCGGGGCTACGGCAAGCTGCTGATCGAATTCAGTGAGTACTTATGCTCACGGCCAGGGGCTCCCGTGGGCACCTCACGTAGGTGTGCCGGGCTGCTGTGATCCTCGGCTCTGGCTGTGCACCCCAGTCACCTCGGCCAGAAATCCCCATGGGGACTCTTCCAAGATTCTTCCCTTCTCAGGGTGGCCGCCTGGCCTGTCTGCGTCAGGTTCTCAGCCCTTCGCTGCGCCTCAGCTGAGGCTCTAGGTATCATCCAGCTTTCCCCAGATTTGACTCAAATGTCCCCGCCTGGACCCACAGGCAAAACCTAGTGAGCCACTGTCGCTCATCCATGTAAGTTCCTGAGCCTGGCAGACAGCAGACATTCAGGTGGCAGGAGCCTGGTGCGGCCGCCCTCTCAGGAGCATGCCACCTTCCCTCTCAGGCCAGCGTCTCCTAAAGTCACAGTGTCCCCACTAGATTTGCAGCCAGGAGAGCTCTGGGTGGCAGCAGCCCTGGGCTAAGCCCCTGGACCTGTCCCCACGGCTCCCTTTTCTGACTTTCCAGTGAGGAAAAGGAACCCCACCCAGGCTGTCTTGTTGCTTCTATCCTAAACTGTTCATTGTCTCACTGTTCTTAGCCTCTTAAAAAAAAGATTTACTTACTTTTAGAGAGGGGAAGGGAGGGAGGAAGAGAAAAGAAACATTGATGTGTGGTCACCTCTCAAGCACCTGACTGGGTACCTGCCCCATAACCCAGGCATGTGCCCTGACTGGGTATCGAACCGGCAACCCTTTGGTTTGCAGGCTAGTGCTCATTCCACTGAGCCATGCCAGCCAGGGCTCACTGTTCCCAGTTTTAATAAATGTATTCTCAAAAAAAAAAAATGCTGTTAATTTAGCAGAGCTGTAAGCACTGACTCTCAGATATGGCCCCAGTTCCTTGCATCCAGTTGGTTTGGTCTCATCTTTCAGGAGCTCTTCACAGCCCCAAGGCTCCCATTGGCCTCCCAGCCTCCCACCTCCATTCTGCTCAGCTCGGCGCTCCCTGGCATAAGCAGGTGTGCTGGGAGGTGGAAAGGAACCTTAGCTGTTCGGTGAAGAGACAGAAGTGTAGCTTGATCAAGGTCATAGTCCATTTGAGAAATTTTATTGGTAGAACAGTGCCAAAATGGGGTCCCATCTTCCTCAGCCTGGTAAAGCACGAAGATGTTTAATGAATCTTAGAGCTCAGACTCCATGGAGAGGGGATGCAGGCAGGGCCACCAAGGGTGCTCAGTTTGGCAGACAGGGCGTGTGGGTGTTAGGGGAGGCACTGAGGAGGGGCCGGGAGTCCCCACAGCTGAGGAGGCCCGTGGGGTGTCCCACTGATCCGTCAACACACACTATAGGCCCAGCAAGAGTAAGTGGGGACCCCGTGTGTCCTCATCCTCTCCCACGCTTCCTCTCCAAAGCACCAGCCTCTGTCCATCTTATGGAGTTACTTGGTGCAAGTTACTAGATTAGGCAAGAGGGCAAGACTGGCTGATACAGATCCACCAAAGGGAGGAAAGCAAACAGGCTATGGCGCAACGTGAAGCAGTTCTGACTGCGGGTGAGGAAGGGTTTCCACCAGTGGAGACATCCGAGGGCTCGGCGGACAAATGAAGCTTGCCTAAGAGACACGAAGCCACGTAGGGTTTCTTAGTGCCTGCCTGTCTCACCAGGAACTGCCTGCAGAGGTGGTCACTAGGCAAGAGGGTGGAGCAGTCGGAGTGGGAGGGGAAGAGTGGGGGGGCCCTTAGCAGGGCCACACCTGCTAAGGGGGAGTGCTTTGGTGCTGTTCTGCAGCCTCGACCACCTGGTCCGACCAGTCTAGGCTTGGGGTTGCTAGCCCCCTCAGGTCACAGCTAGGGGACCTTAATTGACTAAGAATCCAAGCATCTCAGGTGTGAAGCAGAGGGGGGGTCTGCCCTCCTCCCCTCCTTATATGCCCTGACACAGAGAGTGAGTGGGGTGACAGGGAAATTGGAGGCCCTCTCTTTCCATGAGCCATTTTCTCTGCTGCCCCCACCGCATCTCTAAACACTCACTGGCTCCGGAGCAACCCTCACCCAAGCTGACTGTAGTTTCTCCTCTCAGTGCACGCGGTGTCCTCCACTGTGCTGGGCACACAGGTGGAGAGTGGGTACTCAGTAGTCCTTTATGAGGAAACTGAGGCACAGAGCAGACAAGCCCCACACCCCAGGTCATCGAACCACCACACAGCAGGGCAAGGCTGGGAAGCAGGCAGTCTGCCTGTGCGGCTGATACTCTTCAAGTACTGGTGTGCAAGGCTGTGGCCCCTTCCCCCTTCCTTCTCCACTGCTGTAGGCTATGAACTCTCCAAAGTGGAAGGGAAAACAGGGACCCCTGAGAAGCCCCTCTCAGATCTTGGCCTCCTATCCTACCGAAGCTACTGGTCCCAAACCATCCTGGAGATCCTGATGGGGCTGAAGTCTGAGAGTGGGGAGAGGCCACAGATCACCATCAAGTAAGCCTGGCCACACCTCCGTGGGACTGCAGGGTCTTCTCGCGGGCTTTCTCCCCCTGGGGCTCCTGGGGACCTGGGGCAAAGAAGGCCCACAGGGGACCTGATCTTTGCCCTCCCACAGTGAGATCAGTGAAATCACCAGCATCAAGAAGGAGGATGTCATCTCCACTCTACAGTACCTCAACCTCATCAACTACTACAAGGTAGGGAGGCGGGCGGGGGAGAGAGGTATGTGCGGGGGTGCAGAGTGTACGCCCCGCTTGGGCTGACCTGCTTTGTCCCATCTGCCGCCCAGGGCCAGTACATCCTCACATTGTCAGAAGACATTGTGGACGGGCACGAACGGGCTATGCTCAAGCGACTCCTCCGCATCGACTCCAAGTGTCTGCACTTCACTCCCAAGGACTGGAGCAAAAGGGGGAAGTGGTGACCAGGCACAGGCCATGGTAGTACCGACACAGCCGGCAGAACTGGAGCTGACAGCCCATCCTGTCCCCAAGGGGGACCTAAGGGAGATGGGCCAGGCTGAGGACAGTTCCACAAGGAGAGGACAGGCCTGGTAGGGGCTGGATGGTGCCCAGCACCAAAGTGAGCTCAGGGCTCGGGTCATCTCTAAGGTCAGCTGGCTGCAGGCCCAGGCCTGCTGTGAACCAGGGACCAGAGGGAGCCAGGTAGATGTGTACAGTGAGATGGGGTTGTGGGCACTCTGTACAGAGGTTGGTGGCTGTAAAAAAAATTCTTTTGTACAGTAGGGGTGGGGGGTAGGGTGGGTACTGGCTGCAAATTTTGGCCTTTCTCCCCTCCTCTGCCCCCTGGCAATAAATTGTTTCCATAGGCCAGAGCCACGAAGGGTTCTTGTGGGGGAAAGGGCAGTGCTGCCTTACGGGCTCCGAGGTGTGGGCAAACTCACGGGTGCAGCTGGGAGCTGGTTTATTAGAGTGATGGAATCGGTGGGTCAAAAGTGAAGAGCTGGTTTATTGGGTGAGGAGATCAGTAGCTTTGAGTTTCAAGCTCTGGTTCTCAGTCCCCCGGCACCTGTGCATGAATCTGCAAGAGGAGTCACCTTTAGTACTGGGTTTCTGAGGTGGAGCGACTGGGGGTTCCTGGAGGGACGCAGCTGCTGGGAATGATAGCCCCTTGTAAACAGGCCAGAGGGAGCCACGCTGCCCTTACCCAGTCCAACCTTCCAGTCAGAGCCGGGCTCCAACAGCCCCACTGTGCTCTGAAACTCTACAGCCTCAAATCCACTTAGGAGCAAGATTCCGGGCAACCCAAGAAATGAAGCTATAGCGGGTGCAGATGGGCCTAGGAAGAAGATGGCCCATCTATCTGTACTCACCGCTGCGGCGAGGCTGGGCCAAGTTAGGGCCGCACGCACTTTGGCATCAGGGCCAGGGACGGTCTCCAGGCCCCACACGGTGAAGTGGCTGAAACTGCCTGAGGCTCTGATAACGCGGTCCTGGGAAAGGGGCCCGGCTCAGCCTTGGGGCCACTGCTTTCGCCCCCACCCCCTGCCAACCCTCTCCCCCTGTGCTCACGAAGTCTCGCTCCAGGGCCGCCTCCGGGGGTTCCAGCAGCTCCGGCTCGTGTTCGTCATTGTCTGACCCCTGCTGGAAGTCCTGCTTCCCCACCAACACCTCTTCCTTCTCTTCCATCTCCATCACATATCCCACGAGGCCGGGCGGCACCTCCACCTCCTCTCCCCGCAGACTGCGGCCCCGAAACGACACTTCGAGTCCTGAAGGAAGTAGGCGCGGGGCATCGGTGAGGGCCTGATCAGGCCCTACGGGGCCAGCCCAGTGGCGGCCCTCGCGCTATCGCCCCCGTTGGACCACGATTCCCGCGAGCCTTAGCGCCCACTCTCGCCTAAGGGAGCCCAGCTCCGGCGCGCGAGGGCTGCTGGGAACCGTAGTCCGGATGCAAGTGCTTACCTTCGGGACCCTGACGGATGGCTGGGGTGAAGAAGTTCCCCACGGGGGCGGGCCGGTTAACCGGGATACCACAGGGTAGAAGGTGCAGCGTGGCAGGGGTGGCGCTGCGTAGAGTGTCGGGGCGAAGGTGGACTCGGCGCTTCTCAACATCTTCCTCGTCCCTGCTCTCCATCTTCTGCTGCTATCCGGTGCCTCGCGGGCTGAGCCCAAAATTTGATGCGTAAAGCGCGCGAAGTCTGTTGGAACGCCCTGGGACAGGCATCTCAAAGCCTCCTGGGAAGTGTAGTCCTTCCTTGGGCAAGCACCGCCTTCCTGTGTTCAAGACCCTTTTTTTTTTCCCTTGAAATATTTTTTCAATTGTATGTTTTTATTTTAACTTCAAATACTGTAAATTACAGTTGACATATGATAATATATTAGTTTCAGGTGTAGAATGGTTCCAAAAAGTACACTTTTTATGTTAATTGTTAGGAAGGGTTTTTTTTTCTTTTTCTTTTTAAAATTTTACCAGGAAATAAACTATTTCTCAAATAAGTTGAAGATATTTTATCCAACACCTCTTCTAAGCCTGTGTATATTTGGTTTTTATTACACGTGATTTTAATTTTGTGTAGTCAAATTCACCAACCTTTTATTTTTATGTCTTAGTTTTCACAATAGTTTTTCTTTTTTGGTTTCTTAACTCTTTAATGTTTATATATACTTTTTAAAGATTTTATTTATTTAGTTTTAGAGAGAGGGGAAATGAGGGAGAAGGAGAAGGAGAGACACATCGATGTGTGGTTGTTTCTCGAGTGCCCCCTACTGGGGACCTGGCCCGGAACCCAGGCGTGTGCCCTGACTGGGAATCCAACTGGTAGCTCTTTGATTTGCAGGCCAGTGCTCAACCCACTGAGCCACCCCAGTCAGGGAAATATTTATATTTGTATAGATACCTACCTTAGGTATGCTTTGTCAAGTTCTCTCATAAAACAATATGAACGGTTAATTAAGCTTAAAATTGTACCCTGACTGGTGTAGCTCAGGTGGGCTTTGTCGTGCAAAGGGAAAGGTCACCAGTTTGATTCCTGATTGGGGCACAAGCCTAGGTTCTGGCCTGGTCAGGGCATGGTGAGAGGCAACCAATTGATGTTACTCTCTCTCTCTCTTTCTTCCTCTCTCTTCTCTCTAAAAAGTAAGTAAGTATTTTTTAAAAGATTAAAATTGCATTAAATTCATAGATTTGAGGAAAACACCCTTAGACATCTAGAGCTGACCGCGGTGTTCTGTTAACATGAACGATTTCATAGACATGAGGGGTCAAGAGAAAAACAAGACCACTCCATAATTATGTGAACATGGACCAAGGCATGAACACTGTCCAGACCACAGAAATGATGAAACATCTCTCTCTTGAATTAGATGTGACTTGCCTCAGTCTGGTTAAGATTTGTTAACATTATTCCATCATAGAAATGCTTCCACTTTTTGACAGCATCCCATTCAGAGAAAAGCCTTGTTTCCTTAAACTCTCTCCTAAATCACCTGTAAGTGCTTCCTAACACCCACTTACTGATGCCCCGCGGTGCAAAAGTAATGAACCCATTTGTTCAACTACACATGTGTTCTTGGTGGTCTTTGCCTGGAGGGTACTGAAGGATTAATTTAGAGAGTCTTGCTTTAGTTTTCTATCAAGCATAAGATACATAATGCCAACTTCCGGCCAAGATGGAGGCGTAGGTAGACATACTTTGCCTGCTCACACAAGCAAAAGAAGGACAACAACAAATTTTTTAAAAAACAACCAGAACTGCCAGAAAATCAAACTGTATAGAAGTCCGACAACCAAGGAGTTGAAGAAACACTCACCCAGACCAGAAGGAGGGGCGGAGATGGGCAGCTGCATGGGGAGGACTCTCAACAAGGCGGTGGCTGGTGGACCATGTGGTCCCACATTCACGTGCGGATAAACCTGGAGGAACAACTGGGGAATGAGACAGACCACATAACCCAGGACTCCAGCGCAGGGAAATAAAGCCTCAAACCTCTGACTAAAAACACCTATGGAGGTTGAGGCGGCAGCGGGAGAAACTCCCAGCCTCACAGGAGAGTTCGTTGGAGAGACCCACGGGGTCCTAGAATGTACACAGACCGGCCCCCCCAGGAATCAGCAGTAGAAGGGCCCACTTTGCTTGTGGGCAGCGGGGAAAGTGACTGAAATCTGGCAGAGAGTGGAGCTAGTGCCATTGTTCCCTCTTGGACCCCTCCCCAATGTACAGCGTCACAAAGCAGTGACGTGGGTTGCCCCTCCCCCTGTGAAGGCTTCACCCCTTACTACATAACATCCAAGTCATAGGGGTGCCAGAAGGAGAAGAGGAAGAGCAAGAGCAAGAAATTGAAAACTTATCTGAACAAATAATAAAGGAGAACTTCCCCAATCTGGCAAAGGAAATAGACTTTCAGGAAATCCAGGAAGCTCAGAGAGTCCCAAAGAAGTTGGACCCAAGGAGGAACACACCAAGGCACATCATAATTACATTACCCAAGATTAAAGATAAAGAGAGAATCTTAAAAGCAGCAAGAGAAAAGGAGACAAGTTACCTACAAAGGAGTTCCCATTAGACTATCAGCTGATTTCTCAAAAGAAACTTTACAAGCACAAAGGGGCTGGAAAGAAGTATTCCAAGTCATGAAAGCAAGGACCCACATCCAAGAAACTCTATCCAGCAAAGCTTTGATTTAGAATGGAAGGGCAGATAAAGTGCTTTCCAGATAAGGTCAAGTTAAAGGAGTTCATTATCATCCAGTCCTTATTATATGAAAGTTAAAGGAACTTATCTAAGAAAAAGAAGATAAAAAATATGCACAGTAAAATGACAACAAGCTCATAGCTTTTAACAACCAACCCTAAAAAATAAACACACAAAAGCGAACTACACAAACAACTAGAACAGGAAGAGAATCACAGAAATGGAGATCACATGGAGGGTTATCAGCGGGGGAGTCGGTGGGGAGAGGGGAACAGGTACAGAGAATAAGTAGCATAAATGGTAGGTAGAAGATAGACAGGGGGAGGTTAAGAATGGTATAGGAAATGGAGAAGCCAAAGAACTTATATGTATGACCCATGGACATGAACTAAAGGGAGGATGCAGGTGGGAGGGGGTATGCAGGGTGGAGGGGAATAAGGGGGGAGAATGGGACAACTGTAATAGCATAAGCAATAAAATATATTTTAAAAAAGTACATAATACTAATTACTTGTGTTCTTTTATGTCTATCTGTATAGTTGTGAGCTTTTCTTCATACACAATAGTCATCATATTTTAAAGCTTATTTCTAGATAGCTTATGTTTGCTTCTATTACAAATTAGATCTTTTTTCCATTTATTTTCTGATTTGTTATATAGCAGACTTTGGCAAACCTCACATATCATTTCTTTTTTTTTTATTTTTATTTTTATTGATTATGCCATTACATTTGCTCTATTCCCCCCTCCCTTCCCCTCCACCCTGCATACCCCTCCCCCACCACTTCCCCCTTTAGTTCATGAACATGTGTCTCAATTTCTTTAGATTCTGTATTTCCCCTACTATTCTTACCCTCCCCCTATGTATTTTCTATCTACTGTCTATGCTACTTATTTTCTGTACCTTCTCCCCCCTTCCCCCTCCTCCCACTCCCCTATTGCTAACCCTCCCTGAGATCTTCATTTCTATGGTTCTGCTCCTGATCTAGCTATCCTCTTAGTTTGCTTTTGTTTTAGGTGTGGTTCTTAATAACTGTGAGTTTGCTGTCCTTTCACTGTTCATCTTTTTTTATCTTCTTTTTCTTAGGTAAGTCCCTTTAACATTTCATATAATAAGGGCTTGGTGATGATGAACTCCTTGAATTTGGTCTTATCTGAGAAGCACTTTATCTGTCCTTCCATTCTAAATGAAAGTTTTGCTGGGTAGAGCAATCTTGGTTGTAGATCTTTGGTTTTCATGACTTGGAATACCTCTTTCCAGCCCCTTCTTGCCTGTAAGGTCTCTTTTGAGAAATCAGCTGACAGTCTGATGGGAACTCCTTTGTAGGTGACTGTCCCCTTAGCTCTTGCTGCTTCTAAGATTCTCTCCTTCATTTTAATCTTGGCTAATGTAATTATGATGTGCCTTGGTGTGTTCCTTCTTGAGTCCAACTTCTTTGGGACTCTCTGAGCTTCCTGGATTTTTCAGAAGTCTATTTCCTTTGCCAGATTGGGGAAATTCTCCTTTATTATTTGTTCAAATAATTTTTCAACTGGTGGTTGTGCCTTTCCCCCTTCTGGTACCCCTATAATTCGGATGTTGGAACGTTTAAAGATGTCCTGGAGGTTCCTAAGCTTCTCCTCATTTGTCATTTCTGTCACAGTTGCTCAACTTTGTCACTGTAGCATAAAAACAACCACAGACAGTATGTAAATTATTTACAATATGTAAAATGTGCATGGTTATATTCCAATAAAACTTTATTTGCAAAAAACCAGCAGTGGGAAGCCAAAACATCTGTGGGACTCACTTTCTGCGATATTCGCTTTATCGCAGTGGTATTGAACTAAACCTGCAATATCTTTGGGGTGCGCCTTTGTGTCGTCCAAAGAATTGGTCCATTTCCTTGAAGTCATCAGACTGTGGGCACAGAGTTGTTCATATTTCACTGTTTTTTTCATGTCCACAGATGAGTAGTGATGATCCTTCTTTCATTTCCGGTATTGGTTGGCTTCTTGGAATGGGTCCAGAGTGTAGCATTAACTGGCTTGTGGATGCTCACCGAAGAGCCCGGCCTGCAGGCAACGCACAGCAGCCTGTTACCTGTTCCTTCCTGATTCGTGCCCGTCATTGCCCAGCAGGCTCACAATACAAACTGTTGTAGGCGAGGGGTGGAAGTAAGGCAGGGGAGGGAGCTCCACATTCATTTCTCCTTAGCAAGGCTGATCCGACTACTGCCACTGATAAATGGGTAATGTTCCAGAGGCGAAGCCAGCACTGAGCTCTCCGTACAGCAGAACATAACCCAGGAGATCAGCCAGACACTCAGTTTCAGGGTGATTACATCGGGTCCCTTCCATTATGAAAGTGGCAGAATCCGCTGCCACTGCTTCTGGAGATGGCTGTCTTCCCTGACCACAGTGCCTCAGCCAGTATGTTCATGGCCCCACGGCACTGCTTCCTAGTGTGATAGCTCTTCTGGTTACAAAAGAAGTAATGGGACTGGGACCATGACCATGGGTATCACTGGCCTCACCAGGAGCCTGTCCCTGGGGCAGCGGGCTTGCCTGAA